TTGACCAGATGTTAGCACTACCAATTCTCTTTCCATTCTTTATAATACAAAGATAATTTGGTGATAGAACATACATCAAGTTCAAAGAAAAAGTCTTGCTCTTTTGATGCAATTTCATAATCTGCTCTTAACGCCAAATCATGCACCTTCAGACATTCTCCAAGATCCATCCTCTGAAACACAAGACAACACAAAAGGGCAATTTTACAAGAAAATACTAAATGGATACAAATTATATTCTTATTTCAATATTCAAATGGTGTACCTATATATTTTAAATTACTATACAAATTTTGTTTAAAAGTGATCAGTCACATCATTAAAAGTCCACAAGTCTCAGTGACACCATACTGGAACAATAGATCAATACACTTAAATAAAAAATAAAGCAATCTTAGCAGAATTTCTTCCTCCTAGGAAGAAAGAGCTTTCCTTTCAGTTCTTGCATGTTTTCCTTACAAGCTAGTATACTTAACAAATCAAGTTTGTTAAGGGAAACATACATAATGCCCATTGTACTACTTTTTTCAATTTCAGATATGGATTGCCATTGTGTTCTTCCTAGGGCTGAAACAGTGTGATTGGGTCTGTGAACTAGAATTCATGATCCTGGTGTTTTAATTGCTACACCAAACTGGTTCTCTATTGTATTACTTTAGGTCCAATTAAAAACAAGGTTTGACTATATGTCCTTTCATAAGAACAAATGGACTAGGATGGAGCTTGAGCCAGGAGGCTATTTGGTCTGGAGCAGTGGTTCTCAACCTTTTTAATGCCGCGACCCCCAACCGGTCGTAAGTCAAGGACTACCCAACCGGTCGTAAGTCGAGGACTTTCCCTGCCCGAGAGCGCCGCGCATGCGTGGTTCCGCCCCCTGCGCCGGCCAAGGTGTAGCTGGCAAGCGGCAGAGACTGAGCAGGCCGACCACCAGCTGGCCCAGCTCAAGGGAGGTAAGGCACCCGCCAGAAAAGGGGGAAAAAAATGGCAGACAGCCTTGCTTGGCGACCCCCGTGAAATGGTCCATCGACCCCAAATGGGGTCGCGACCCATAGGTTGAGAACCGCTGGTCTGGAGCATTATGCAAAGGATGTCTGTTTTTACTGTCTGTGATCCTTATATGAGAGGAGCAACCATGTATGTTCTATTATTAGATAAATAATATTACAAAGGTTTACAGTTTAAAGTGGCTGGTACCATAACTTGGGCAGGGGAGAAATGAAATGCAAATTTTATATTTTATAATATGATTTAAAACTTATGCATGTAGCTCTCATAAAAAGCTGAAGCAATTATTTATTACATTTATATATCGCTTCTCTCAACAATAAGGTGATTTTGGGTGGCTATATACAGAACACCACAGATGAAGCGAACTGCATTTCCCTTCTCTCTTTCAAAACTCTCTTCAGCAACTAAGTTGCCTGATCCTTCTTCCACTGTAATTTATGCCTAGGGATTCCTAGTCATTCTGAATTGTTTATTGGGTTCCCCTTATTCCCCGCCATCAGTTTCTTTCCTTCCTTGGCTTACTAAACAAAGCCACCAAAGCTTTGCCTACTTTTCTAGCCCTAATAATGAGTAGGAGAATACAGAAAGTACTATACTAGGCAGGTAAAGTGTAGATAAGAAAAAAGATAAAGGAAGCAAAAAATCCAAGTCCAAACAGACAATTTAGAGATATAAACCCTATTTTACCTGTAGGTCATTTGCAAAAAGTTCTTGCACAAGAAATCTGCTTGATAATCTTTACCATAATGAAAACATTATAATTAAATTCACTACTTTCACCAGCCAATTTAATATTAAGAGTTATACGGATATCAAAAAGTGAGTGATCACTCCAATACATACAGATTTAAAAATGAAGAGTTGATATCAACTGCTTTAAAGAATGGATACTTTACAAATATCTTATGATAAAATGATTTTATGTGAAAGATTACCTTCAATATTTATGATTATCAGTAATATCACATTAATACTCAAATCCAACGAACAACTCTTTTATGAGAAATTAAGACTAGTAAAAGGGTAGAGAAAATTGTTTTGATTAATTGAGAGTCAATTTAATGATTAAGATTTATTTATTTATTTATTTATAATTTAATTTATACCCCGCCCTTCTCCTCATGGGACTCAGGGCGGCTAACAGCCTCATAAAACTACAATACAAATACAATAATTAAAAGCCGAATTAAAAAGAAATATTTAAATAGGCCGATCAATTAAAATTATCCTTAAAAATCCCCTGAAACTTTAAAATCATTAACAATNTTGACCAGATGTTAGCACTACCAATTCTCTTTCCATTCTTTATAATACAAAGATAATTTGGTGATAGAACATACATCAAGTTCAAAGAAAAAGTCTTGCTCTTTTGATGCAATTTCATAATCTGCTCTTAACGCCAAATCATGCACCTTCAGACATTCTCCAAGATCCATCCTCTGAAACACAAGACAACACAAAAGGGAAATTTTACAAGAAAATACCAAATGGATACAAATTATATTCTTATTTCAATATTCAAATGGTGTACCTATATATTTTAAATTACTATACAAATTTTGTTTAAAAGTGATCAGTCACATCATTAAAAGTCCACAAGTCTCAGTGACACCATACTGGAACAATAGATCAATACACTTAAATAAAAAATAAAGCAATCTTAGCAGAATTTCTTCCTCCTAGGAAGAAAGAGCTTTCCTTTCAGTTTTTGCATATTTTCCTTACAAGCTAGTATACTTAACAAATCAAGTTTGTTAAGGGAAACATACATAATGCCCATTGTACTACTTTTTTCAATTTCAGATATGGATTGCCATTGTGTTCTTCCTAGGGCTGAAACAGTGTGATTGGGTCTGTGAACTAGAATTCATGATCCCGGTGTTTTAAATGCTACACCAAACTGGTTCTCTATTGTATTACTTTAGGTCCAATTAAAAACAAGGTTTGAATATATGTCCTTTCATAAGAACAAATGGACTAGGATGGAGCTTGAGCCAGGAGGCTATTTGGTCTGGAGCATGATGCAAAGGATGTCTGTTTTTACTGTCTGTGATCCTTATATGAGAGGAGCAGCCATGTATGTTCTATTATTAGATAAATAATATTACAAAGGTTTACAGTTTAAAGTGGCTGGTACCATAACTTGGGCAGGGGAGAAATGAAATGCAAATTTTATATTTTATAATATGATTTAAAACTTATGCATTTAGCTCTCATAAAAAGCTGAAGCAATTATTTATTACATTTATATATCGCTTCTCTCAACAATAAGGTGATTTTGGGTGGCTATATACAGAACACCACAGATGAAGCGAACTGCATTTCTCTTCTCTCTTTCAAAACTCTCTTCAGCAACTAAGTTGCCTGATCCTTCTTCCACTGTAATTTATGCCTAGGGATTCCTAGTCATTCTGAATTGTTTATTGGGTTCCCCTTATTCCCCGCCGTCAGTTTCTTTCCTTCCTTGGCTTACTAAACAAAGCCACCAAAGCTTTGCCTACTTTTCTAGCCCTAATATGAGTAGGAGAATACAGAAAGTACTATACTAGGCAGGTAAAGTGTAGATAAGAAAAAAGATAAAGGAAGCAAAAAATCCAAGTCCAAACAGACAATATAGAGATATAAACCCCATTTTACCTGTAGGTCATTTGCAAAAAGTTCTTGCACAAGAAATCTGCTTGGTAATCTTTACCACTGTCCATAATGAAAACATTATAATTAAATTCACTACTTTCACCAGCCAATTTAATATTAAGAGTTATAAGGATATCAAAAAGTGAGTGATCACTCCAATACATACAGATTTAAAAATGAATGAGTTTTGATATCAACTGCTTTAAAGAATGGATACTTTAGAAATATCTTATGATAAAATGATTTTATGTGAAAGACTACCTTCAATATTTATGATTATCAGTAATATCACATTAATACTCAAATCCAACGAACAACTCTTTTATGAGAAATTAAGACTAGTAAAAGGATAGAGAAAATTGTTCTGATTAATTGAGAGTCAATTTAATGATTAAGGTGTTGGACTAGGAAATAGAGACCCAATTCCAGTCAATCTTCAGCCACAGAAGGTCACTAGGTGACTTTGGGTCAGTCACTTTCTCTCAGTCCAATTTACCTTACTTGAGGTGGGGAAAAATAAGATGGAAGATATAACTTCAAATAATAATAGTAATGATGCACATTAAGTGTTTTTATCTTTATTCATGTCAGAAGCATCTTCAAATTATGGACATATACCATTCAATATGAAGCAGCTAAAATAAGTGTAAAATAGGTCATAGCTATAGCACATATGAATACTATGTAAAATAAATAGGATTAAAACTAGATGACATTTGCCCAGTATCAGGCCACATCGACAGCATTTCCTCTCACCAGCATGAGGTCTTCCTCTGTGCATGTTGAAGAACATCATATGCACCATAGCATATATGAGATGGACTGTTGTTCTCCACGTTCACAAAAAGTATCTTCTATAGGGAAGTCCCATTTTCTTAAATTGTCCTTTGATCTTCCTACCCTGGTACACAGTCTGTTTAGTGATTTCCATACAGGTCAAGGTGATTCTTGATCAGGAAGCAGAAAGCCATGTGGTTATGCCCAGTTACTTGACAGCTCCTTTTCTATTGGTGCACTATTGGTTGCTTGGTACACTCTTCTTTATTTTTCTAAGTCTCTGCTTATCTTTCAAGCCTAATGCCTTATTTTTTTATCTCACCTTTTTTTTGTCAACTCAAGCAATGTAGATATTAATATTCTAAACTTCTAGTTTCCCCAACAATGGGTTGGGTTGAATGTATAACTTATCTTAAGTCACCAATGAAGGAGAATATTTGTAGCTCAGAGTTGAAATGAGGGATCTTTGGTGCTCTCTGAGCTTGTTTTCTTGCAGACATTTCATTACCCTAACTAGGTAAAATCATCAGTGCTAGTAAGGAGTGCCGTTTGCTGTCAGTTTATATTCTGGTGTCTTGCCTCTCTGTGTGGGTGGGGGCAGTCTTAGGGATTCTTTGATTGGGCTGTTTACTAAAGGCTCTTTGGTAGTTTCTTGGTTGGGGTATTGCTTACTTGATTGTTGGTCTGAAATTGATCTTGGAGTTAATCTATGCTGATCTGAGTGCTGATTACTGGAGGGAAGGTGCTGGAGTCTTTTTCACATTGGGACTGGTTGATTATCTCTTTTGCATAGTCTGTAGATGTTGTTAATATCTTATGTGTCTATTGAAGGCCGATCTGTCAGAGTGCCAGTCTTCTAGAAATTTCCTGGCATTTTGGGATTTGGCCTGGTCTAGGATTGTCACATTTTCCCAATTGAAGTTATGGTTAAATCTGTCTATAGGTTGTGAAATTAAACAATTTTCATCATGCCTTTTGACTGCCAGTTGATGTTCATGGATGCGTTCTGCCAGTCTTCTGCCTGATTGTCCTACATAGTGGTTGTTGCAGTTCTTACACTGTATGTTGTAGAGTTGCTGGTTGAAGGAGGCTGCGTGGCTTGTTGCGCAGATCACACCGCTGCCGCCACTCATGGCATGAGGCCACGTGGCTCTTTGTGCCAACTGCACCATTTCCGCCACTTGCGACAGGACACTGCGTGGCTTGTCGCACCGCTACTGCCGCTTGTGCCTTTTTTCAGCATGATGATGGAGAATCCACGAATGGGTTTACTTCATCTTCCTGCCCAATTAGACTAAGTCTGACAGACTTGCCACGCCTCCTGCTGGGCCAGTATTACCCAGTTACGACGAAGGCGAAGCAACAGACGATAGTGCAACGTGTTGGCTCCTACTACCCGACACAGGACCTGACGGACACTGAAGGGGAGGATGTGGATTCTCCCATCATCATGCTGAGAAAAGGCGTTCAGGTAAGACAACGCCCCTTCTCCAGCATGAGGATGGAGAATTCACGAATGGGACATACCAAAGCTGCCCTATCCCTATGGGAGGGAATTAGTCAAGGCCTGTGTCCCACTTGATGACACTACTTGTTGCAGCACCCTCCGGCCAAATGAGGTGTCCGCAGAGGCAAACCTATCTATCTTGTAGTGCCTTATGAATGGGGAAGGCGAGGACCAAGTCGCCGCCCTACAGATCTCTCCAATGGATGCCTGTGTTGCCCAAGCTGCCGATGTTGCAGCGCTGCGGGTGGAATGAACGGTGATACGGCTTGGAACGGACAAGGAGTGCGATTGGTATGTCCTTGCAATGCAAGCTTTGATCCACCTGCCTATGGTCGATGACGAAACCTTTTGCCCGATGGAAGAGGGTTGAAAGGAGACAAATAGTGCCTCTGACTTACGAAAGGCAGAAGTCCGCTTGATGTACTGGCGTAGTGCCCTGCGCACGTTCAGAGTGGTGCCACTGGCGTTCTAAGCTGTGAGACGGACAAGGGCAAAAGTTAGGAAGTATCACCTCCTGAGACCTGTGGAACAGGGTGTTTACTTTGGGAACAAATGACGGATCTAATCAAAGAACCACCCTGTCACTGTGGAAAACACATAAGTCCTCTTACAGAGAGAGCTGCCAGTTCTGATATGCGTCTGGCTGACGTGATAGCTACTAGGAAGGCTACCTTCATGGACAAGAGCCGCAGTGTACAGATGTTAATGGGCTCAAACGGAGGTGAGGTAAGGGCCTGTAAGACTCGTGACAGGTCCCAAGAGGGATATCGATGGACTGCAGGAGGTTTGGTGTTGGTCGCTCCCTTAATGGAGCGCACCATGGGGTGCTGAGCTAAAGGGGTTGAATTGTCGCATGCAAGTACCGTTGACAGAGCCGCCACCTGCCTGCGGATGGTATTGGGTGTTAAGCCCTTGTCGAGCCCCTCCAATAAATATTGCAGGATTCTCTGGATGGTGATGTACGAGAGATCTAAATGGTTTCTGGTGCACCAGAGACTAAAGTTTTTCCACGTGGAATCGTAGATCCTATTGGTAGAGGGGCGTCTGGATGCCTGAATCATGGAGATTACTCTTATCGAATAGGATTCCCGGGTCAGGAGTCACCGCTCAAGTGCCAGGCAGTTAACTGGAGCCACTGGGGTTCTGGATGCAGCAGGGCTCCCTGGCGGAGAGCAATGCGGTCTGGAGGGATTTTCCACGGAGGGGGGGGAGATGGAAAAGCCTATAAGGTCAGCAAACCACGGTCGTCTCGGCCAGTGTGGAGCAATCAGTATGACCTCTGCCCATTCCTGGAGTATCTTGTAGATGACTGCCGGGAGCAGAGGGAGAGGGGGAAAAGCATATAATAGTTCCCTGGGCCATGGGCTGCAGAGAGTGTCCGCCCTCTCCGCCCCTGGAGAAGGGAACTGGGAGTAGAACCTCGGAAGCTGAGAATTGTCTGGAGAGGCAAATAAGTCCAGTGCCGGGTGACCGAACCTCTCCGCTATCTCCGTGAATAGTTCAGGATGCAGGGGCCACTCA